AGGTTAAAAATGGAATGCTTTGTGCCGAAGATAGGTGCCTTTTAGCAAATGCCATGTGGACATTACACAAGTATGATATTATTTAATTTGAACCAGATAGGTAAAAATGAATGCCAGCAATTATATGACTAGCTAATAAACACAATTTCATGGTATGCTATAGATATTCCAAAGTGTTAATTATAACAGAAGCAGTTAAGTTCTTTAGCTATGAAAGCGTAACAGTTCTTAACAGATGTATCACCTGGTAATTTTGGGCATTATTAAATATATGGAGACTGAAAGACATGGTAGAAGCAATGGAAAAGTCTAGCCAGACTGGGTAATTTGTTTTAGACCTATGGAGAAATCTATTAACCATTTCTTCTATAGACCAATTTGATTAGGAAATAGGACAAGCTGTTCTTTCATTACTTACCAAAACCACACTGCACTTTGTATCAAATCAAATATTTGGCTGTCTGCAGCACACAGATTAGAATGAAGGGTTTTCTTAGTGTTTGTAATGTTGTGGATTGCTGATTAGTAATTAATGTACTGAATGAAGAAAACTAGGCCAAAACTGAATGGGAATGAGAGTCTTAATTCTGTGATACAGATGTTAGAAGCAGATTGTCTGGAGCAGCCCATTCAACACAGTGACATTCTACATAGCCATGGAATGTTCACCCCCCCATGTAAAACTCAAGTCGAATGCCTTAGAGATGGTTTCCTCTCCCATGCATTGTGATGTAGTTGTTTGGGTATTAATTTAGTGAAATATCCTGTCTGCCAGGTGTGGGAACTAGCTGATTTTATTGTAATACCAGATCATTACTTAATTCATATGCAACAGAGTGCAGCACATGGAAAGCATTACAAATCTATTTACAATGTGGCTGGTCTGATGATAACATTGTATTAAATTCCCAGGTGAAGCAATTTAAGCAATTGCTTTGCCATGTGCACGCCATGGAAATTAAATTCTTATATAAGCTTTAGTAATAAACCGACTTCATTGTTATGCTTATGCTAGTGGTGGGTTGTAGAATACTCATTCTGGTTACATATACCCTGTGTCACATGTAGAATCATACAGGAAGCCATACCACAGATCATAGCTCTTAATTAGTTTAAGCTAAGTTAATTCATTTTGTTTCTAGTTTGGCAAATGGCTGTCCAGGAACATACGCAGTTCAGCTGGGCAATGTTAAGGCTTGAGTCAAGTGTAGATCAAGTCTTTCAAGCCAAATTCCCAGATAGAACTGATCAAGTCTATCTGTTTGAACTTGGTTTTAAGAAAGTCAGCCAATCTGTATTTAAAAGTTCTGTTCTTACACCAAATGAAAACCACTTGGAATCTGAAATTCTTGGTTTCATAACGAAAGACTCAAGTTTTCTCATCAGTTTAACACAACCATTGAAATTTTGTACATCTAATTTTTTAGGGATAGCAATGAGTTGCTAGTTTTTCATATTTTTTCTATAGTTCATAAAGGGCCTGTTGATTTTTCTGTCCAACTGTGTCCAGTCCATCAAGTGTGTAAGTTAGAAGGCATATAAGCTTTACACAAACACACAACTAGAAGTGAGGACTGCTCTGGTATTTAACTGTGTGTGTGTGTGTGTGTGGCAAATATTGTCAGTTGAAGCTTTTCCACCCTTATCGTACAGACCCGAAATGCAATAGATTACAAACTGCATGGAGCTTCTATCTTCTCCAGAAGCCACATATAAAGCACCCGCAGACAGTGGTAACTGACAACTATGACTAAAAATGTTGACAATTTCTTGATTTGCCTGGTTAGCTTATGTATGGAAGTCATTAACTATTTATAAAATGCATTATGAATTGGATTCCTTCAAACTGTAGCTCTGTGTGTGACATTTCCAGCTCATATTCTCATGCTTGCATTTGGCTAAAGTACAAATTTTATATAGTTGATAATAAAGTAAAAATAATTTAGTTTATCCAGATATGGTAGATGTTTCAGTTTCATTAACTTTGAATCCTCCAAATTAAAGTATACATCATACTTAGTAAGGTTTCTAAAAATCCCATAAAAAGTAAAATTATTGGTGTTTTGAAGGAAAATTATCCATAAAGTAAGCAATTTGTCATTCAAAGGAATTTGCTTTTTTTGGTGTTCAGTTAGTTTCATGATGACCCTGCAGGCTAAATTATGGTGTATTATAATCAGCTTACTTAAAATTTCAAATTAGAAAAAAATTAGGAGATGTCAGGTACTTAAATATAATTCTTAATTAAAGTCTTAATTTAAAAAATTTGTTGACTGATACACAAGTATGAAGAGTTCAATTTTTAGCGTTGGTTGCATTATTTTCATGAAGGACAGTTTCTGGTATTTGAAATGAATCTTTTCATTCTTTAAAAGAAGTCGGTCCTATCAGAGAACATTTGTAAACTGAGCATGTCATTTACTTCATTAGATAAAGCCACCCAAGTGACCAGTTTTTACCATCCCACATAGTAAAGAATGACATTTATAGGGACCACTTTTTAATTGTAGATAAATCCTTAGTTCTCCTCTGTTGCTGAGCATGAACACTTTTAATTGCTGGCTTTCAAAAGCAATGGGTTCTAACCACAAGATTAGATATTTAGGGATACATGTTTATAATTCTCTTCTTCTTTTGAAGTATAGTAAATCAAAATAAGAATATAATATAATTGAACAATCTATGGCAATTTGTTGGTATTTTGGTGAAAAAAGGGAAAAACAAAAACAATCTCCATATGATATTCTTGCATACTGTGGAATGTTTTAGTCCCCCATAGTGATGAAATGAATAATTAAAAAGTCAGCTCTGATACCACAGCCTCTTTAAAGGTTCTCATTTCCTTTAATGCTGTAAAATACTTTTGCCTGGTTGGTTTGAAACTGCTATAGTGGGGATTTCCAAACGGGCAAAAGAAAAGTTTGGGTTGATCTAAATATTGTAGTAAGGCCATGAGGTTTACTGACCTTATCATTTAGCATTTTTTTCAATACAATCCAGTATGAAGTCAACAGACAGAGATAATTAACAGTAGCTTCATTAGATACAATATGCAAAGCGGGCTTACTATATGCTGTTGTGGTGGTAAGAAGTCTGGTGTGTTCACAAATGGACAAGTTGGGTCAATCCTGAATTGTGAAGACATCTGCTATGGGTGACATTACTGACCTCAGGCTCATGACTTAACTTTTCCACTTTGTCCTCTCTGCAGCACTGTTGGTTATATTTATCTACTTACAGACTCACTCCATTTGCCAAGGTATAAGATACCATTTGTAGCAGGGAAGCATAACTTCAGATAGAGACTCAGGGCAGGGAGGAGATACCACTATCTCCTATACTGAAACATTTTGTAATTTTTGTATCTTTTTCCTGAGGGTTTTCAGAGGGTGATAAACTGGGGAGGAAATTTTGTGTGGTAGAATGAATGAATACTCAGCTGTGTCAGGACCCGAGGGCTCTAGTCTCAGTTTAACCAAAGCTACCTTTAGAATTCCATGACACCGTTTGCTGGTTGGTTTGTTTTCTAAAAAAAAGGTGGGGGGATGTCTATACTTATTTATTTTTATTTATACTCCATTTCACCCCTTTTCAGCTGAGTTCTGCCAAATAGTTAAACCCAAATGCCCTAAGGCTTCTATTCAATGTAGTGAACTGAATGAACTCTTATGTACCATCCGCAGGAGAATCGGGAAAATAGTCCTTGAAGTAGTTTTCTGTGTTTTGTGGTTCAGATAAGGAACCCCAATGGAGAAGGCTGCAACTTTACAATGATTTAAAATCTATTGGTTTTTCTTGTTGAAAGTCCTTTCAAATTAAAAAAAAAAAAAAGGTAGTGTAACTCATTCACTAATTTAAAAATCTAAAAATCTTGGTGACTTCTACTCACAGATCAGGGATAGTCCTTTTAAACTACAACTTTTCAGATCACAGTTGAACACAAAAGAAAATTTAAGTCCTAAACTGTAGACCCCAAGTGAGAAAGATTACTGTTCCCCAGCTGCCATTTTTTACTTGATTGGTTTTGCTTAGTTCAGAAGCGGAAAAGGCAGCAAAGTACATACCTGACTTTGCACTGAGATAGTGGTGCTGAAGTCGGATCATAGGGTAGCACTCTAGATTCCCAACTAATTTTCAGAGGCTTTCTGCTTTTCCAAATGTGTGTACATTCAGGTAATTCATGAAATTGCCTGCAGACATGTCCCTTGGACTTTACAGGTAAAGGTAGATTTCTTGTAAAACAAAATTCCACAATGAAATGTTGATCATAGCCCACTTCTCTTTACTGAAATTGGGAAAAGGTGACTCATAGCCTCCTTGCCTTTATTTACTGGGATTGGGAAATGTAATTTGTTTTACCAGACACACACACACACACACTCACATTACTTTCTTTAGGCCATTGTTTATAAAGGACTTGGAGACGTTTAAATTATTTTTTGGAAACAGGATGGGCTTTTAAATTTCACCTTTTTGGTTAGTAATATCACAATGGTGAAGGAAGGTAGATGTACTATCTTCCAGGTATTCCAGTGTATAGTGGAGATATAATAATATCCTATAATTAGACATTTCAGAAGACATGTGTAGAGCATTTCCTGTCACAGTATTAAAGACCACCATATACTCTTGTTTTAATTACAGTCTGGTGAGTTTTGCAGATATACAGCTATATAGCTGTATTTCCTTCAGTTTGGTAGTCTTATTTGAATGACTATACATAGAGTAACATGCCAGTTCTGATCCATTTGTGAGTATTAATAGAGTACTTACATGATGCAGAGTTTTCTTTCATTATTGAAATTTGAGACAGTTCTGATTTACATTAAACTTCTCAAGTTCAAGAACTTTACACAACTTGGGTTTGCAGATTTTAGCAAATAGGTTTCCATTAGGGGGCTCTCGAGGTATGAAATGATCCGCCTTGATACCAGTAATGCTTCCAAGCCTTCACTTTCAAACGTTCATCTTACTCTCTCCCTTTTTGTTTTGTTTTATAGAAAAGGTCACGGATCGCCTACAGTGACGAAGTACGGAATGAGCTCCTAGGGGATGATGGGAATTCCTCAGAGAACCAGGTAGAATGCTAATCAGGAAGGCCCGGTGGGTGGCTGGAGGGTGAAGGAGGTCACAGCCACACTGGGCTCTCAAGCTGCTCCTTAACAGTATTAGCAGCAACTCATGTGGAAGCGATACTGTTTAATGCAAAGCTGGAGTCTTAATCAACTTCAAAATGTTTCTTGGAGATCTTACATTTAACCCTTTACCTTGTGATCACTGTCTGCTATCTTTTAAAAAAATCTTTTCTTCTCTTTTCTTTATTATTTAGTACTTAAGGAATAACTTGAAACACACAGTTTGCAGACAAAGCCAGGGTCTTCACCTCAAACACATGTAAAAGGAATAAAAAAGTACATAATGCAGCTTTGATAATAATGCAGTATAATTAAATCAACACTCACAGCAAAACAAACGAAAGTAAGCTTTCAAAATTCAACAGGGCAGCTCAGTCTCCTATTGTGTAGCTTCTTAAAAATACATTCACCAAAATGCAAATTGTAAGTACTAGTGTGGAACTTGGATAGTCATAAGAGGTCCTGCCTCTGACAAATAATAATAGTAATAACAGTAATAATAATAATGTGAAAAGTCTGTACAGTTTAAGATCTGCATAGGCAAAAAATAGGATTCAATTTCTTCTTATAACTTGGCTGTCAGTTTTCATTGAATCACACAGTAGAGTTATGAGTTTAATTAATGTCTCACTTCTTTGTATTAATACTGCAGACTTCATTAATTCATGTAGATAATATGTATAACTTTAAAAAATGTTTCAAGAAACCTCAATGTAGAGATGACTTTCAAAATGTCTCAAACAGCCTAGTGGTTGATTCTTTTTGATACTTTTAAAGAAAATAAGTGGCAGGGAACTTTGGAAGCAAAATCTGAATGTGTTTATTAATGTTACTTTGGTAAGTATTGTGAAGGTCTCTACTCTGCCTAAATAAAGATGAACATAAATCATTCATGGGGTAAAACAAAATTTTAATGTAATAAAACATATTGATACACATTATAAAAATTGCATAATCATTATTTACCATTTCAAATTGATTATATTATAGGTCTATATATGCTGAAACTATATTATTATCTACTATAATGTTAAGCAACAAGTATGTTGCTTATGTGATTAAGGCCCCCATCCACCTACCACCCCCAAAAAAGGGAGAAAAATCACTGAACTGATGATGTTTGTTTTGGGAAAGGTCTTACCTCCTCCATCATTTGGATGTTATCAGCTTGAGTTCAGATGTGTAAAAATATGAAGATTTGACTTGGGATTTCAGCTTTCCTGTTGAAATGTGAGAATAGCTACGGGAAAAAAAAATAAGGAGCACATCAAACATAAAATGGCAATGTGATATAAGGGTTTTAACTCATAATAGAATAAATAATGTGAGGATGAGAGAAAAAAATATTTTTTTCCTATTTTAAGTGAGAGTTAGGTTGCTCATACCTCTTGAATGAATGAATCCTAATTTTATTTCCTATCTTTAGTGCAAAAAAGCATTACCTCTTTGGCAAAAAAGTGAATGCATCGTTCCCATGTCAATTCTTTAGAAAGCTATAGATCTTCCCCTATTTTGAAACTACTGCCTAATACAGAGGAAACAGAACGGAAGGGGGTGTACCTGTCTAACTCAGACTCCTTTATTGTAATGGATGTTGTAGTACTGTGACAGGGATTCCACCCCGCATTTTTTAAAGCATGTTCACTTCCCTTAATGGACATTTTATGTGCCTAATACATTTGCCTTACACACATAATGTGTATGATTTTTTTATGCCTAAAGAAAAATATTCCACAAAAATAGATTGAGTTCATATTTTCTGAATTTTTCAAATTATACTCCTGTCACTTTAAAGTGATTATGCAGAGATTTCCCCTGGACTTGTATAAATCAAACCTACAAATTCTGAAAGTTCTTGGAGAACCTGAAGTTTAGTTGTAAGGAGCTGTCAGTTCAATAAATAAAGTATGATAAATTACAGTCACAAGCCTATGTAACTATTAGATTATGACTTATGTGAACTTTTCAGTCTAAAATTCGAATCAGATTTGAAAGTTCAAAGAGACCACACTTAACTTTTTGGATATTGTGTTACCAAATGTAGCAGAATTGCCATATCACAATGAAGTCATTAAAGGTAGTTTTGAGGCTCTTTATCATAATATAGGAATTAAAACCCCTCAAACTAAAACAACATCCTTAACTAGGAACGGTCACTTGAGAATTACTATTTTGTATCAGCATTCATTCAGACTGTGGAATCAAAACAGAAGCTGCTTTCTTTAATGGAAGAGAAGATTTTAAGTTGTCTCTTCTTATTATATGTTTTTGAACTTCAATGTCTGAGAAGAAAGTTTTTTCTGGATAAAATCACCTGTAATTTAGACAAGAAAATATTTTCTGCCCACATATAAGTTTATTTTCAAGTTAATTGTTGATAAATTGATTTTCAGAACTTCTTAGCTGTGTAATATTTATAACTTTAATATACAGAGAAAACTTGGAGATGAGCAAAATGATACAAAAATAGCAATATTTGTTTCATGTAAATTGGGATATATCTTAATTTTTTTAAATAGTAGATCAGAAAAGGAAAATAATAAAGAATTCATAGCAATAGCCACAAATAAGTTATTAAAGTAAGTACTGACTACTTAATTATTTCAATGCAATATACACATCCTCCCTATGGTGGCCTCTTTGTGGAGATTTAGACAAACGTGAATGCCTTAGCTATTATTTCCCATTCTGGCCATTTATAATGTATTTTTTTTTAAGGCATCTAAAACCTGGCTTTTTATTTATACGTAATTATAATCTACAAATTAACTATAAAATATATTAATTTACATATATATAAACATTTTTGCAATGATTAGAAATGTTAAGATTTCAGAAATTAAGAATTTTTCAAATGCATCTTTAATATCCTCATACAGTACACTAGTTCATTTGATTTCAGATTAAATGCTTTGTATAAATTCAATTCTGATTCATATCCATTTCATACAATCTAATATAGCTCATCCCTGATTTACAAAGATGGGACAAAATGATCTACTTTGCACATTCAAGTATTGCTGGATCATCAGCTTTTGAGGGACTATTGTCTTAGGCATTATCATCCTATTCTTTTAAAATATCCTATTTCCCACTTCATATGGCAAATTTTAACATTTTGAGGGAGTTGAGTTTTTGAAATGTAGTAATGCTGTATTTACAGTGGAAACTCTAATAGTTGTTAACTTGATTTTCATGAAAACCATTCTCAGAAAAGGAAAAAAAATCTTACAAAATTAAATCTCCTATTATGATAATGGGGCAAATGAAATGTTCGAAGCTCTACTGATGAACACTAACTGTCTCTCAATGTCCTTTTTGCAAAATTATATTCATCAGTGAATATATTTTAGTAAGTGAAATATGAGTAAATCCTATATGTAAGGTTCAAAAATACATATAGAAAGAGTAGGAGATTTCAAAACTGCCAAAATCTTTGTGGTAATGCAATACTTGAGCAGATATGATTGCTTAATTTTTTTAAATGAGGTTCTCTTAAGTTCTGATTTGGGCTTGCTGTGCATAAAGTGTGTCAAACTTCAGCTACAGACCAGGGGGTGAAGTCGGTCAATTTAATTCCCCAAGATCTAAAGAAGGTCGGTATCATTTCATATAGCCCTGGCAGAGCAGATCATTACCAGGCACAAATCTGTTCGTTACGTGCTGAGGGTTTATAGCAAAATAAATAGACTGTCATCATAAGTTCAGAAAATTGTGTGTTCGACCCACGATAATGTGTAAAGGGCGTTTAATAGAGTCCAGCATTTATTCGTTATCTGTATGCGGACAGAGACGGCAGTAGCGTTATCTGTTTAAAAAAAAAAACCGGTAGGTCACGTGACACCACACACACGCGCGCGCCTCTCACATGCTCTGCAGTGCAGTTTTGATTCTAGCCCAGCAGAAGGCTTAACCACAAGAGATTCCACTGGTTCAAACCAGCATAAACCAGATTTTTTTTCGGCCCACAAAGGCACAGATTACCTCTTGTATCAAATTTTGCATTGAGGGAAAGAAATCTTTGTTTCAAAAAATGTTGATTATCATAACTCAACATGGTGGCATGGCACGCTTGCACGTCGCCTATGATAAAGCCAGTAACTTGATAAAATACGAAATAACTACTTTCAGTCTATTCTAGCCATTGTTAATTTTCGAAAATAGACCATCTTTTGTTTATTTGAATGAAAACCCTTGGCCTAAGTGGAAAAAAAAGAAAGAAAAGAAAAGATAAAGATTAAAAACCCTGCCATTACCTAGCTTAGCTACAAATCCGGTGTAGAGCTTGAGTGCAGCCATGCAGCACAAACAAGATAGAACGTTTTTTGTTTGGAATCTATTGAAAAAACAAATGGGTAGCATTTTTAAACGCTCATTGATTATGGCACGGTGGCATGCCCCAAATGGTCTCAATTGCTGAAGAGTAGTTTTAAACTTTGGCCCTTTAAGTATCATAGTCAACGGAAGAATGGTGCCCCAGAAAGAAAAGATAGCTGTGCGATCAATTCCCAGATCGTCTCTTTCTGAAAATTAATGTTTGCCTTTTTCTCCCATGATGTTGGGATAGCAAAGAGAAAGATTACAATATATGATAGGCTAGAGATTGTAGTTTTAAATTTTTACTTCTTCTACGGAAGAATAGTAACTTTACACGTGAAATGATGATAATGCTTTACTCATACACAACGGATGGCTGCTGAGAGAATGTTAAAAGCAGTGACAACTTCTTATATATTTTAAAGGACAACATTAAGAGTTTGATTTTCACTAAATGCACTGAAACATTCATTATGTAATAGCTTCTGTACCTTTCTATAAAAGATTCATACCAACTTTGAAATCTCACTCTTTTGTGCTTGAAATACTTTTCATGAAACAGAAGAAATAACAGAATAAGCTGGAAAGCATACTGCCTTCTCTGAACTGGAGACAAAAGCAGCATTAAGCATTGAGAAATCCAGGCTGTAGTAAACATGATACTTTATAGTATAGAGCAATTCCTGGCACATTTCTCCCAAAGCAATAGTTTAATTTATTGGCCTGTATATGTCAAGCATTATAACAGATGTTACAGGTATTTGGATGTTTAAAAATTATCAGTTGTAGGCTTGAATTGCTGAGGTTGCAAATTTCAAATGTAGAATGTGGTTTACAGTCTCTTACAATAGAGGTTTCAGTTTCTATTCATTGCAGAAACTATGGCAATCATCTCAACTATACATTGATATTTGTGGTTTAGAATACAGTGAAACATAAACACACCCACACATACACATACAAAGAGTGAACCAGATGTATGGGTATGTTCATTTTCTAGTTTCTAAAGAATTAAGCAACTTGTTTTATCTGTTATACTTAAGGCAAATAAAAAAATGTTCTACAGGGGAGAATTAAAATGTTATCATAGGAGAATTTATTAACACGTAAAGAGATGTTTTTGGTTTGACTTTAGTGAAAAAAAACTGCAGTACAAATGAAATAAGAGCTCATTGCTCTGAGATGAGTTTGCAAGATGAGGAAAATTGAAAAATGTAATTTTAAAAATTAAAAACACCATGGGATTGCAAAATAGAATGTAGAAATTAACTATGATATACACAATATTTCTAAGGATAGTGAAATATTTTTTGGTCCTATGTCCTAGATAATAACCCTCCTGGCATGCTTTATCTTCAATTAAAATAATGTTACCTCCAAATGCAATCCTGTTACTAGAGTGGGTACAACTATGACATTAACTAGCATAATAGTTTGCTGTTTTAAATACTTAGTGGGACAAAAGCATGAACTCTTAATCATTTTCAATTGTAGGTAAAATCTGAGATCAGTTGTCAAGATTCAAAACGGAGAAACATCCTGAAAACTTGTATATACAAAACCTCTTCAGTGGTACATTCTTAGAAGAGAGGAACAGTAAACTTGTTTTCTTTCTTTATAATATAGACTTCTATGAAGTCATTCCCCTTTATTTCATGATGGTGTCTTAGATGTACTTTAAAAGGGAATTTCACACTATTCTCTTTGTTTAATGTGACAGTGTGAGAAAGTGATCTTTATTCGTTCAAAAAACTCTGCATGTAGTCTATGTTTAGGTTCTTTTAATGTGTTTGTCTGTGATTTTTAAATGCTAAACATGTAAACAGATAAATTGTCAATGTTAATTCTGTATCCTGTCACACAACTGATCTTTCTTTCCTGCCATTTCTTTCCTTTTTATCTTTTTTTTTGTGCATTCATGTTGCAGTTGATAAAATTACGTGAAGAGGTGAGTACTTCCTAGCTTGCTTTTTTTTTTTTTAATTCTGCTTCTCCTTCTAAAATAGACTTTCTAGACCTGAAGTAAATCTTTGTGTTCATTTTTCCAGGAAAACCTACACGCAGCAAAATAATTGTTTATATTGCTAGAAATGTTCTCTGCTATCTTTTAAAAAACAAGTATGTCCTAATCGTGCTTATCACAGTGGTCATTGTTGTTTGTTGGCCTTGCAGGAAAAGTCATATTTCAAAGGCCAAACAAGGGAGGAAAAATAAAGGAATATCTTAAAACTGTAGCCTGGTGTAGTTTTAATGTAGACTAACTTCAGACTTGTTTTATTTGTATTGGTCTCTCAAAGAAGTCAATATGATTACATTTTTCTGACATTCTGATTTACTTTAATGTAAACTGTTTATAAGTAACTCCTTCCCTTCATCCCCAAAATTCTTATGTTCAACATAAGATACCATGAATCTTTTATCCTTTTGAGGAAACACATATGTTATAAATGCCCTACTGGTCTGTGTACACAGATACCTAAGAATAGCCAAATCTCTCCTCATTGTTAAACATTTTCCTTTTGGTAGGAACATTACCCAACTGAGTTCTCATTTTCCTAAGTTTGGGGCTAGCCTGTTTTATAATGCAGCCCCAGACATTTTTGCAGCCCAGCAAATATTTACAGCAATCTTAGTTTATCCCCATATCAAGGAGGGATGCTGAATGATTATTTTTGTTTGTTTGTTTTTACTTAGGCCAAACTTATCAAACAGGCTTTGAATACTCTTTTCAGGAGCAGGGTAGTTAATTTTTTTACTTAGTGAGGTTGAGTTTTGTTACTTTATATTAAGACATAAAGTCATAACCACATTACAATTTAAAAATTGTTTAATTGCTTATAATATTTATCAGAGTACAATGAATTATTTTTGAGTTTAGATTGACAACATTGATTGAGATTTTCCTAGAATTCTTTTCATTGGTATGTCATCATTCTCAAGGTGATGTGAGTGCTAACTTACAGGCTTGTACATAGTGGTTTTCAACAACTCTTCTGGTTTAAGATGCATTAGTGGTATCCTATCTTAATAAAAGTAATAATGATCTATAAAGTAAAGGGTGGAAGTACACAGATCCCTCACCCTCCAAGTTCTCTGTGTTTTTTTATCCTCCCTACATGGAAGCAAATGTATATATTATATATCATATAAATGAGTATAATCAATTGCAGTTTCGATGTATAAAATTATTCTTGAGTCAACTGATAGAACAACATTATTTTTCTTAAAGACAGAAAATATGCTTGTATGTGTATGCATATGCTCATGCTTAGGTGAAGAATATGACTTTTTAAATATTAATGGAACTAACAATAGATTTGAAAACCTCCATGGGAAGAAGCTACACAAAGCTCTTGCCCCTGAATTTAACAATGAATATAATTAATAAAATCTTGTGTCTTCTTACAATCAGCATTTTTGATGGAAGATTTATTTTTGTTAGGCTGAGTTGTGTGGAGTCAGAAATCTTCATTCTAAAAGCTGAAAACATGTCTATATTTCTTTTAAAATATGTGTTATCATTGTTTTATGTCTTAATTCTCTTGTGCCTATTAACAAGTTTCATGAATTATGGTTCTGGAATGCATGTTTCCAAAACTGTAACCTGTAATGTAATTGTACTTGAAGGAGTTAGATCATCTAAATAGGAGAATAATATACTCTGAAATATTCTTTTAATAGCCTTGGATTTAGATGTAGCATGCCAGTGCATTATATATGGTTTGCTCAGAAATGATTGTTTCTCAGCCAGGATTCTAATAGTAATCAAACAGTGAATACACCCCAGATTTCCTTCCTGTACCTGTCCTAAGTAGACAAGTACTCATCAGCTTTGAAATAGGATGATTTGTTGTGTTTGGAAACAAATTTACCCCGTCCGTTCCTTGCGAGCTCTTTTTGGGCTCAGTTCTGGAAACAGAGGCTCTCTTGGAGGCAGGCTGCTCATGCACAGGTAGCTGAAGCGGCGATGGCTGTGCGGAGCTCTCCGTTTGAATCCTGCCTCTCCAGCCCGCTGCACTCCACAGCTCCTCACACAAGTTGAGCTCTGTCTGAAGCTCTTGCACAGCTTCACCTACCTGCTTTGAAAAGGGCTAAGAAGAGGGTGAGAGAATGAGTTTGGGATGGAGTGCGGGGGCAAGTTGAAAGCATCAGCTGCTACTATAGTGTATTTCCTTTCATTTCCAGACACCAGGGCAATGCACAACTAAGGGAACAATGTAAATAGCACAGCTGTTACAAGAACTTTATTTTAGCTTGACTTAAGTGAAGAGGTCCCAAAATACAAAGTGAAGTCCTGCTGGAAGGCCGCTGGTAAACTGATAGCCCTCTCACGTGGGGATTCACTCTGATAAACTGAACTGTCTAAAGAAGAGTCGCATTATTTAGGAATATGCACTTTTTTTAAGAAAGTTCTTTTAGAAATTTTGCTCACCATCATAACCATACACTGAATAACCTGATTTGGCTCTCTTTCGTGGAATCCCCCCAAATAATTTCACACTTAATGCTTTGTTTCCTGTATTATATATTATCATACAATTAGACTGTCCATTTCTAGTATTGATCTTTGTCTCTCTCCCTCTCTCTCTCTCTCTCTCTCTCTCTCTCTCTCTCTCTTTCTCTTTTCATCTGTAGTAGCCAAATGTTTTCTTTTTATTTAGGGATTTCGTCCAATGTGAGAACGAATGAGAAGTCTTTGTTCTGTTATTCTGGATTAATACTCAGATTTATTCTTGATTTTACAAATCTGACATCTTTTTAGAGAATCGCCAATTGTAAATTAATTCCTTTATTAAGGTAGAAAATAATATTCAGAGAAAGGAAGAGCAATCCATACTCCAAAATCTGCATGTAAGAAGAATTAGGATTAAGAAAGCTATTTTTAACAAGCTGAGCAAAGTGTTTAATTTTATTTTAAAATAGTCATTAATGCCAAACACACAGCACTCCCCTTGCTTTTTTTTTCTGTTACAGGCTTTAGCGATTTGGGGTTTTCATGATATAAGCTTTCCTTCCTTCCTCCTGCTTAGTTATGTGTTTTGTTTCTGTTTTGTTTTTGCAGAAGGAGGGGCAGTTTTTCTCTTAATTTCGCCACTGTATATCAGACAACTCTATTAATTATTATAGACTGTTGTTGCAGTTTTCCTGACCTTCACATCAGGTCCGATCTCGCTTTTCTAAATGCATTGTTTTAATGATTCTTCACCCCCGCAGGCCCTTCCCCCCAAAAAAAAAATTTCAAGGAAAGCTTTGATGTGGCTTTAGCTGCCTCTAACGTCTGGCCGCATCTCAGATGTGTCACCTATGCCGGGAGGGAATAAGGAAATCACGTTTTGAATGGTAATGATAACGTACTAATCACTTCCTTTCTTTGAAGATGGAAGCGAGATATTCTGTCAGCATCCCGGGCTGCTAGAGCTTGGAGGCACTGGTCTAGGTGTATTAGCTTAAGTGTGCATGTCAATACAGCTTGCATCTCCAAGATCCGTGGGGGCTCATTAGAGCAAGGTAGATCGTTTCGCTCGACAGCCACTCAGATAATATGTGTGGCACCTCCTTTTTTATTATTATTAGAAAGCATTTTCTCGATCTTAAATGACATCTGTCAACAACAGAAGTTATAGGAGTTGTGATTGCATTTTTTCTCTCTTTTTGACTAGATAAACTAATTTGAGAGGGAAAGGTACTAATTTATATAAATACATATATACATGTACACATATAAATATACACATATTCATATATTTCTAAGTATCCAGGCATGCATGGATCTAAACACACACAAATGCACATTTACATGTGCATGCACATGTTCTTATCCATTCACAGCCATGCTTAGCTGATAAACCTGTTTGTTAACCTGAATTGATCTAGTGTGTGATCATAATAGTTAATAAAAGAAAACCAGACTTAATGTAGAAAAGCAAGTTTAGAAGCTGAAAATTTGGGGAAAATCCCTTAATTGCCGCATCAAATATAATATAAAAGGATGTATATAACTATTATCATTTTGCTCACAGTATAAAACACTATGTGTCAAAAGTTCGCTTTATTTCTAGTGCCATATATTTGGGAATAAATCCACACTTTTGTATGGCTGTGTGCATGGAAACATGTGTCTGCCCCAGGTGTCTTAAAACTGGAGCTTTTTAGTATTCTGTTTTAGAAGTATATGTTCTTCTGTATGGCCTCTTGCTGCACATCCAAAATTGAGGGGCATTGTCTTAAAAAAAAATTTCCTGCTCAAAAATTACTTTCTGCAGGAATCAAAGTAACAAATGATTTTTTTTAATGATTACATTTTATAAACATATAAGTACAAAATAAAAAGATCATAGATCTCTGTAAGTACCTCACTGCTGAAATAGGAAAGATCCAGTTGGCTCTGGTCTTCATACATTTCTTAGTGTTTTGGAGTAAATTCATTGCAGCCACATACAACATGAGTCTGCCTTTTAAAACAAAAAAAAGACTGGATGGTCCATACGTAGCTGATCGTTTAGAAATCTGCCCATGGAAGATTTGCTAAAAATTATCTCTAATGGGTTGTGAACATTTCCGTCCTCCCACCCCCCCAACCAGAAATGTTAGGGCATATGATGGCATTATTTTTTTAAGGCAAAAAATGAACATTGTAGACAGCCATCTGATTTTTCTCCCTTTTTCTTTTTCAGAGGGCACATCTGCTCGATAACACAGGGAGGCTGGAAAGGGCATCTCGGAGACTAGAGGCTGGATACCAAATAGCAGTGGAAACTGGTAAGAATTCTGAGAGTGAGCAAATTGTCTTGCTTATGCACAGCAGTCTTCACAACACATGACATTTCAGGGAAACTTCAAAGGAGTAGCAGAGACAGCAGCCCGAGATGTGGTTTACATATTGGGGAGACAATTGGGAGCTTATTTGCGCTTATCTTTTTTCAAGTTAAAAGGCATGACATCTACTGAAAAACAGTTCCTGAGGTTTAAAAGTATACATCTGAAAAGAGATAGAATACTTTGTCTAAATTCTACATTTGTCTTAATATGTGGTTACATGTTGTCAGTTTACCCACCCGCGATGGTTGCTGGCACACAGTGCTCTCTAGGTTGTTTTGGTCTGTTTATTCACATATGTAAAAATTAACATTTTAATCAGTTTAAATTATATGAACTAGGTGCGACATAGTAACAGTACCTAGGTGACCTTGCTTATCTGCCCTGGTGTTTGAAAATGATTCCTAATGGTCCTGTTTTGTTCTGTTAAATTATGAATACCACCTCCAATCAGATGTGGAAAAAAGAGAAAAGATGTAGTAAGCAAGGCTAATGTTCATGATAATCTTATTAGCACTAGTTAATACTGTCCAACTTTTGGTTTGAATGAACACTAGTTATTAATTCTAGAAAACACAGCCCTAATTTGACTTCTAAGACTCATCAACTTAAAAATAGATGGGCTTTTCTGTTATAAATGTTTCGTTCAGTGACTATTTATTTTTACATAGTAAATAAATATCCATTAACCCCTTCATAGCCATCTGTTTCTTATAATTTAGCTATGTTTTGTTTTGCAAAGTATAGATTATATATAATCTTTTCTACATATTTTGGGCAATTCTTGCTCAGTATGCAAGCCACAAAAATATATGGTTAATAACATTTCCATGGATTTTTTAAAATCTGGCATCACAAAAGTGTTTACTTTGAAAGAGCACATATAATGAAAATGAATCCAAATACTTTCTTTTGTGAATGGCCAGGGTATTTTCTTGCCCGGGGTTTATGGCTATCCTATATTGGATGGCATATGTAATGAATTCTAAGGAACTGAATAGGAAAAACGGAAATGGCATTGGCATTATAGTAATGGTGAAAAAAACAAGAAAACTATAAGCTGTCTAGATTTTTTAATAGTATGGGCAGCCCTTCTCTCTGAGGTTATTGATAGATTGACTTTCTACCCTGATTGGAATAAAAGCCAGCTTTCATTTGTTCTTTTTGTCCTTGGGCTCACCTTAGAAGTGACTGTCCTTGTGGATGTAAATCATGGAAAGAGTCCTGAACAGGAGGCCAGAAGGCTAAACTCAGGTTCTAGCTCTTATTTGTGTGACCTTGAGCAAATCAGATAACCTCTCAGAGTCTCAGTTTCTTTTCAGTAAAGTGGAAATAATGTTACCTGTCTCAGAATATTCCTACGAAATGGTGGCATATGTTAAGATATTTTATTCTCCATAAATATACTACACAAATATAAATATTATTAATGTGTTGATATATGGCATTTATCTTTATGTCATAGAAATAAGTTTTATCTTGTGATTGAAATTTGTATGTTAAAGGAATTTATAAAAAGTATTACTTTGACATCCTTGGGGAATGTAGCACTCTATTAAATATCAGGTGACCTTCTTTGACAAACCATCCCATTGGTGAGCCTCTTTTCACATGGGACTGGGTTGGGTTGGAGATAATCTTGCTGTGACACTGATCACAGGGCTCTATATATCCGATTGGGCTGCCTTTCTCTTTCACAGCACCATTCATGTAGCTCTTTTCCTAAGTTGAAGGAAGTCATCAAAGAAGATCACAGATACTGGAGGATCATGCATTGATCAGGTTTTAAAATCGAATGAGACTTGATAGTTATTCCTTTTGGTGTGTGCTAAAATATAACATACACATCAAACTGTCAACATAGTCAACATAGAAAATGTCAATTTCAGAGTGTCCCAAAAACCAACCTCAATCTCCTTGGACTTTTTAGTAGAAGTCAATAGTAGATTAACTATAAGGTTTTATAAAATTAGATCTCTTTTGTCATATAAGGCTTGGGAACTTCTTGCAGACTATATAAAAGCAAATCTGAGAGGAAAAACAAGGGTGGGCTTTGTGGAGGTAAAACAGATGTGGCATAGCCTCTGTCTGGACAGGAATTATCACGATAATTCATCTCCTTGAATGAGTTTGAAAGTGGAGTGAGTAATGAGAGGGCAGGCACAAAGCATGCTTCCTATCCTTGCTTCTTACCAAAGTAATATGGGGGAAAAAGTCATTGTGGGGGCGCCATGTTGTTTCTGCATTTCCTGCTTCCCTGCTAGCCCTCAGCCTAGTCCTGTCTAGTCTGTTTTTTTATTGTGATGTAAATTTATGATGCTGAACAATCATTTTGTTATAGTATCAGAAGAACAGCCTCTTTCAAAAGGAAACAAATTTTAGCACCTATTGGTTTCTTCTTAAAGACTATGAAATGAAAGAAAGAAGAAGAAGGTGTGGTAGAGCTAGTATGACTTTTCAAACAGCACAAAAGAGGGAAATGATTTACAGATATTGGTCTGAGACCTGGTTCTAGGCCGCAAGAGTTCCCACCAGTCCACAGCCAAATGAGAAAAAGAAAAAAAAGGTAGAAAATAGCAACTTTCTTATAAGACAAGTTTTCCTAACTTAAAGGACTCCACTTTTCCTAAGATCATGTTTTCCTGTTTTAGGGTGATAAAAGGAAGGATAGTTTTGTGATATGGTAGAAATAGTAGGTAGAAATTTTATTTTATATATATATATATATTTTATCTACCTGGAAAAATAACAGATTTGGAAATCCTATTTGGGTCTTCTGAAATGTTTTTTCAAATTTTATTTCCCCACAAAATCTAGGAACTATTGTCTGATATACTGAATTGGAGAAAGAAAGAGCCACTCCATCATCTGGCTGTGTCATTAATCAGCTGTGTGGCTTTGAGAAGTCACTTAACCTCTCTGTACATTTTCTTTTATTTGCAAAATGGAAATGCAACACCAGATTCTATGCATCCCATAAGGCTGTTAATAGAGTAAAATGAGGTCATATATATTCAAGTGCTTAGAAAGTACAGAGGACTCTGTAAAAGTCATCATTTTTGTACATTACCATCAGCAAAAGTGGTTGTCTTTCAAAATAACTGGCAAAAGATTTCAACAAAAATGTGTAAACTTCTATTTTCAACTTGATCATTGTTGGCAAATATCATAAAAGGATTATTATCTATAATCAATTACAAGTAGAATAGAATAGAAAGCATATTACTTTAATCATTAGTATCTTCCTGGCAAATAATGAAATTCATCTTCTAAAATTCTTGAATTATTTTTGACATTTGAAAATGCTATTTTATTAAATTGGCAGTTACTGTCTCATAGCTATAAGAGCAGCTACTCAACAGAGAGATGCATGTTTAGAACACACTTGCTCTGAGAATAAGTATATGATTATTTCTAAGTGCCATTTTTACCTTGATATATATCAAGTTTACTACCAATCAAGTTTCTTTTGTGGATCCCTTCCTATTTGAAGAAATTGATGAAGTTACAAGTTAATTGAGCAGCTCCATTTAGAAAAGAACACACAGATGGATAAATATGTGATATTAAACTAAAGAGCTGATGCTAGGACATTTCAGTCTAAGACTGACTTCAAGAAGACAATTATCAGACTATTAGCAAACTTCTCCAGGAGTGACCATCAAAGACCAAACAATTTGGTGGTTGTATGAGCCACTGGCTTGATCCAGTTTGGCATTTCTTATAAGTTCTTGTCCTAAAATCTGTAAATAAAAAGTGACTCTTGCTTTTTTCATCTATTACTAATAGTCATGTATGACTCTTAGCTTTGGAGCTATCCATTGTGTTTGAGGTCAAGGACTTAATATTTAAAAGACTGCATCATCTGCCTTTTGTTCTGAAATGTAGTTTTTTCCCCCTCTGAAGTAAATATCCCAGAATTAAATAAGCACAAAACTAACGGAAGCTGTATGATTAATAAATGAAATGGCTGAAAGAGAAATTATACAAGAGCCAAAATGCAAGGCTCACACTTCCTTTCAATATGTAAACAGATAGTTAAAGATACTCCTGACTGCCCCGCCCTCCACCCTAAGTGCCCAGTGTGCCTGGCAGTACATTTCTGGAACCATGAGAGCATTTCTCTGTGGTCAGTAATGTACATCTTTGGAGAGTGACGTGTACCACATACTAACCTTGCTCCTGCCATCCCTGAGTACCCACACCTTATGAGGCGTCATCCCTTCTCTTAGTCATCATTTCAGGTCTCCTAGCTCTGATGCCCATTTGGTCACTGGGCTCTCTACAACAGACGACTGTAATTTTGCCAGCCTTCCTGCCGTGAAGAAGAGGTGCACCATTCTTCACCCAGAGCCCTACAGTTACCCACCATGGACTATGTGTAGAAATAATACAGTGTTTCTTGAACACTTACTGTGGGCCACACACTGTTCTCCATACCCTACATTCATCATCTCTTTAATCCTCACCACAGCCCCATGCAGCAAGTACTCTTCTCATTTCATGGATGAGAAAACAAGGTTCAGAGAGATAAGTTGTTTGCCCACACTTATAATCAAGCTAGAAATTACAGCCAAATTATCTGACTTTATGCTCTTAACTAATATACCACACTTAAATATGTGTGGAGCCCCTACAACTAGATTTTCCAAGTGATCTGTTATAGTCAAAATACATCACAGTCTCAGGTCTGTTAAGTTCTTTTTCATGTAAACTGTTCAAGAACTAACTATTGGATACTGTATGCATGTGCTGAGGATACAGTAGTAATCAAGACAGCCACTGTCCCTGTTCCCATGCAACTTATGTTGGGTGGGCAAGGACGGGGCAGGATGAGACAGGCAGTTTTTTAAATTAATGAGTGGATCATTGCAGTTAGTGGTAAAATTAGGCGGGGTGTTAAGGAGTAACTGATGAAGGCTACCTTAGGTTAGCTGGTCAGG